TGCCGACCCCCGGAGGCGCAGAGGAGCGGGCGGCAGCGGCAGGAGGAGCTGTGTCTGGACCGACAGTATAGGCTGATCGTCCACAACGGTGAGTGGGAAGCAGGAGCCCCGGGCTCTCCCTGTGGGCTCATGGGCTGGGGCCACCGGGCAAATGGGATGCATTTCATCAGTGCGCAGAGGACACAGGGAGTCCCGTGTGCCTCAGAGTCAAGTCTGGGGCTTTCTTGACCAGATCTCTGGCTTTATCATGGAGCCTGTGTGGAAAAAGTGAGCAAAGGCCCTTTCCCGAAACTCTGACACTTACATTAAGTGAAACTCCAGGGGCCCTTCGAAATCTGCTACCCTAAGGCCCAGTCTTTGGTCAAACAGTTTTGCCTTTGTCTACACAGCTGAAAAACCACTTGGACTGAATTAATAGGGTTTAGGAAAGTAAAGAGTAAAGAGCTTGGCAGCTACATGGGACCAATGATGGAAAAGCAGAAACAGAAACATCAGCCCTGCACGTTCAGAAGAATGATTTTAGCAAATTTTCTTTTTGCTAAGTGAACTGAAATCACGTTAAATTGACTAGCTGGTTTTCTTCACTTAGGTTTTTTGAGCTCCCCTGGAACAGCGATAGAATTTGTTTCTAGTTATTACCCTTGTCCAATCTTGATTTAAAAACCAGGGACACTGTGGAGAAAAGTGCTGTGTATTTTGGATTGATACTCACTCACTCCTGTGAGAAACTGGGTCTCAAACTCTAAATAGGGTAAAGCTAAAATGTAGAAAAAAGGAAGCAACATTGAACATTTTTGTTAATCGTCTCACTGAGCCACTATATGAAATAGATATGAACTTCATCTAACTGACCCACTATACCAAACAGACAGGAACTCAGACCAAAAATAGCACTAGGATGTGGAAGCTCCACCACGAGGCACCCAGCTGAGCCCTTCCTCCACTCCTCTCACTCATCCTTGGACATGCCTTGTGAAGTAAATTCTCTCCGTATCTACATCCTACGAGGGAGAAAACAGAGGCAAAGAAAGATGAAGACAATTGCCCCAACGCTTTAGTAGGTAACTGAGCTGGATGCAAACCTAGACTTTGTGGCTCTGAAGTCCCTTGTGGTACCACCTAGTGACGCGACTTGAGGCATGGTGAATGCTCTGTGTGTTCACCAACAGTGTGGTGAGGTCAGGCTGACCTGGCCCCCACTCCTCGAAGCAGAAGGGAGGAGCCCCACAATACTTTGAAATGCAACTAGATAAATTTAAGAGAATGAAAGGAATGTATTTCTTACAGCAGATCGTATTGTCAGGTCCCCTTTGTCTCCAGAGAAACTCAAAGGGTTTCAGAAAGAGAGCGCCTTGAGGGTGTTCATGAGGCGCAGCACTTCTAACTTCTGACACCTTTGATCAAGGGAGCTGAAGCCATCAAGGTCCGCTAATGGCTTTGCTTTCTGTATTTCAGGTTACTGCGATGGCAGATCAGAGAGCAGCTTTTTGTAGGAACATCAAGGATGCAGTTTCATTTGAAAACTTCTGATTCACTCTCCTTCAGTCTTCCTTCCACTCTATTTATCTTAGGAGTTTAGTTTGCCCCCCTCTCCTCACCTTTCCTCAGTAGACACACAACCTTCAGTACACACAGAAATAGAGATGGGAATAGGTGAATCTGTTTGCAGTCAAATGTGTATCTTTATTGAAGTTTTCCCAAGGATCATTCGAGGCTTCGAATTTCAGACTTTGACTTATTAAATTATAGTTACCCACTTCCTATGATTGGAGTTTTTATTTGTGTTCATGTCTATTAAAGTGAGAACTCCTGGGTCAGCCCCAGGCCTACTGGTTAAAGGAGCTGGATCCCACATGGCCGACCGCAGTTCAAGTCTCTGCCTCAGTGGCTTGAAAGACATACTGGGTGCTGCGTGTGAGTGGCCAAAATCCCAAAAGGAAGGAGAAATGGAGAAGAGCTTGCAGTGTGACCACACCCTGGGGATGTTGTCTTCCTCTCTTTCCCTCCCCACTCTGCCTCTCTCTGGGAAGCTCATGTGATCTCTGGCAATTTAAAAATATGTATTTTGGAAGTAATAAATCCTGCAGAAGGACAGGCGGGGTGCACCTTCCTATACCAGGAGGGCATTCTTCCCTCTTAAGACCTTAGTCCTGTTCTAATAAGTGCCTAATCTCTGTTATTAAAGACTGTATCTTCTCCCAACTTCCTGAATGGGGTGTTTCCTTTTTAGGAAGGCCTTCCCTACTAGTCTAGCCCAACTACAGAGCCCCAAAGAGGAAGCGAGTGCAGGTCCGGCCAAGTCAGGGAGGTGGGTGGGTCAGTGGGCTCCCCTTGGCTGTCCTGGAGAAGCTGAGATGCATGGTCGTGGCAGCTCTAGAGAACACCCCCAGCCTCCCATAGTTTCTAGCACTTAGTTCATATCTTATTTTAGAAGTGGCCAGAATGTTGAGGGGGAAGAGAGGGGCCTCTGGTTTCCCTGGGGAAGTGGGATATGGGCCTTGGAAACCAGGTTGGTAGGACAGACCACAGCACTCTCCACTGAACAGGGAGGGGACAGAAGGAGACTGGGGCAGAATGCCAGTGTCCCACGCCATTAGCAGCCATTGACGGCTTGAGGGTTTAATACAAAGCCTCTTGCCTCAATTTCCAGGGGTTCCCACAAGCCTCCATTTTTCATCCTGAGAATGGAGTAAGGGTTTGGTAGCAGAGAATGGTGGCTGTACGTCAGAATCCAGCTCAGTTATATATTAGCTGTGTGATTTGGAGCTTGCTGCAAGACTTCTCTGAGCCTCAGTCTTGTGGAACACAGGGAAACAGTCCCTGGCTGATGCAGGACTGTTTCAATTAGGTGGCATCCATTAGAGCACCTAGGAGCTGTGACATGCCCGCAAGACCAGGCTGCCACCCATGGATCCATCTGGAACTGTGGAAGGTCTCAGATCTCTGCCTGGGTGTTGGCCTCTCCAGGGCCCTGGGAGGATCCTGAGTCCCACACCTCAGCACACTTTGTTCCTAGCAAGGACAGAAGAGCCAGGGGCCCTGCCTGGGAGAGCTCTACCTTGGACTCCACAGAGCAGCAGTCAGAGCCTGGCTCGGCGGCCTCAGAGTGACAGCCCCCAGAGACCCAGCGGATGTCCACACATCACTTCCCAAGTCAGCTGTGATTTACCACTTCCGTTACCTAGCTGAGGATGCTGGTCTCCTTGCCTTGAGCTTGTAAGCACCATCAGTCTCACCTCAGAAGCCATCTGCTCCAGACGCCCCCATGGGCAGTGGCCATCCCTGGCACTGATTGACTCACAACAAATACTCATTGAGCACCTACTATGTGCCAGCACCTACTGCATCTTCCGGCCACTAGCTCAGCCTCCAGGTGCTGACATGGCCCCTGGGTTCAGTCTTCACTCTGGTTTCTTCTCCCCAGGGATATTTCCTAAAGCCAGGGGTCTGTAAACGCCACCTGTGTCTCCAGGCAATGTGTGTCAGAGAGAGGACAGCGTCTAACACAGAGGAGGCTCAGTCAGCAGTTTGCTTTGTCCTGGTTACACCAACACTCTTCTTTCCGTCCCATAAGCATACCAGTGTCTTCACGCCAGTTCTCCCCCACCTGCGAAGCACCTTCTCCTGGGTTCACAGGGCTGGCACTTTCTTGACATATGCCCTTTTGACTCAAGTGTCGCTCCTCAATAAGTTGTTCCTAGCCCACCCCTAAAACCCCATCTAAATTACTATTCGTCCCATAGTGCCCTGTCTAGTTTCTTCAGGGTGCTGATTCCAATTGTAGTGCTAGACTATGTATTCCCTTCTGAGCTCCCGGGAGCCGGGGCTGGGCCTGTCTGACTGTTGTATTCCCAGCACCAAAAACACAGCTGACCACAACAGGTGTTAAGAGGTCTCTGGTGGAGGGACCAGCAGGTGATGTAATGACTATGTCACTGGACTCCCATGTAGTCGACTGTGGTTTGAGTCCCAGATCTGGTGGCTTAAACTCATGCTGGGTGCAAGTGCGTGCGTGCCCAAGATCCCGAGAGGAGAATGGAGAAGGGATTGTGGTGTGGCCATCCCGCCTGGGGGGGTGATTTCTCGCTTTCTGTCTCCCTGGCGAACCCACGCACGCTATAGCTAAAGCCTCTCCAAAGAACAAAACAAAACAAAAAAGAGGCCTCTGGTGGACGATCAGTGAAGGGACTCACTCCAGATCGCACTCTCAACATTCCAGAGTCACCTTCCCTTCTCTGTGATTTCAGGACACTGCTTCTCCTACAGGAATCCACGGCATCCTTTATAAATGAAAAGAGAAAAGTCACCTTCATTGTTCCTTAGAAATCCCTCGAGTGCTCTCGAAATTAATGAACAATCCTTGAGAGTCCAAGCCAGGGGCCTGGTGGCTGTGACCCTTCAGAGAAGTCTGGGTCCTGAATCACTTCCAAGACCCACTTTGCAAACCAGTAAGGAGTGGCCTTCAATGCAGGAGATGTAATTATGGAGCAGTTATAAATAAAAATGTATTACATTTAATCATCTTACAAACACACTGAGAAAGTTCGCATTTAAAGGAACCCACAAGAAATCCTTCCATAAAGGAAAAATATTGTTAAACTAAATGATCATCCCTTGTTTGCTGGTGCTACAGATAAGTATTTGCATAGGTTGCATTTCCTTTTAATAAGGTGGGTTTATTTTATGATATAGCGTATGTGTGTACCCACACAAGAAAGAGAAAGGAAGAGAGAGAAACATCTCCAAAGGGTCTCATCGTGCTGGGCTTCCCCTTCTTCAGCCCTCCAGCTCATCAGGATCTTGAGTGCTCACACAATCCAGGCCTGTTCTCAGGCTGACCCTGGGATCCCAACCCACAGCCAGCCATGTGGCTTCCAGCACTGCACTTCAGTTTGCTATCAGCTGTGCCACCAGGCTGGGCCCGGGTCCCATTTTCTGAAAGCAAGGTACGCTAACGAGTGGTCCTGGAAATGCACCCCCATTAAGAACGTACCACGGCTCACCGTAGCAAGGAACTCTGCCTGTTGAGAAAAACGAATTAGCTGGAGATAATAGACAAGTCATTTCTTCTGACAGACGTGTCTGTAAAAATGGCTCCCTTTTCAGGGAACAAGCAGCAGCAGAAAATCTTCCTCCACTCATTCCTAAACAACGACATGTTGTAGAGGATGGGGTTGAGGGCCGAATTGGCAAACGTGAACGCCACCACCCAGAAGAAGAGGGATGGCCAGAGGACCAAGTCTTGCTTGAAGTTCTGGATCAAGATGAGGAGGATGGTGATGATGATGGGACTCCACATGATGAAGAAGGAGACCATAAGCAGGAAGAGGGTGCGGAACAGCCGGAAGTCCTGCTGGGATACGCGGAGCTGATGGCTCTCCGAGTAGGCCAGGCTCACCGTGAGCCTCTTCCTCGATGCCTTGGTGATCTGTGGAACCCAAACAGAACAGAGCCACAGTTTACCAGGGGTGGCAGGCCCCCTGGCAGGCATGTGCATCTCTGCGCCCTGGGGCTACGTGGCTGTGGGACTTTGTGGAGGGAGACGCTGAGGTCTCACAGAGACAGTGGAGAAGCAGGTGCCTGGCTGGGCTTCTGAGAAATGAGGCAGAAAGTCCCCCCGTGGCAAACAGGGTTGAGGGAAAGTGAAAGGCGTGGGTTGGAGGGCCAGGAAGAGGGACAAGTGAACAGAAGCACGTGCTCCTTGTTTTCTCTTTAAAAAGAGGTCAGCAGGGCAGCCCGTGGTCTGATGGTTAAGGGAGTCAGATCCCACATGGCCAGCTGCTTTAAAATCCTGAACCGGGTAGCTTAAAAACATGCTGGGCACGTGTTCATGCAGGGCCTCAAACCCCAGCAGGATGGAGAAATGGAGTGGAAGGGGTTGCGGGGTACCACGCTTTCCCCTCCCCCCCTTCTCCTTGTCTCTCTCTGGTCAGCATGCACACCCTCTGGCAAATTAAAAAAAAAAAAAAAAGACATGGGACCAGCAGATGACGTAATGTTTATGGACTGGACTCCCATGGAGTCGACCATAGTTCAAGTCCCGGACCCAGTGGCTTCAAACTTGCGCCAGGCATGTATGTATGTGTTTCCAAAATCCTGAGCAGAGAATGGAGAAGGGTCTGTGGTGTGGCCATCCCCTTTGGGGTCTGATTTCACATTTTCTGTCTCTTTGTCTCTCTGGCGAGCGCATACACCCTATAGCAAAAATCTCTCTAAAAAAATAATAAAGATGTAATTGATTAATTGAGCGACGTGTGCTCAAGGCGCAAACTCAAACAGGACAATACTGAAGGGACCCAGGGAAACACGGAAGGTCTCTAGCTTCCTGCATTGCCCACCTGCATCCTCAGGGGTCCCAGAGCGAATGCCTCCCTGCAGGACCTGCGAGTGCACCACCTCACACGTGGAGACCTGGCTACAGGCTCATAGCGTCCACGGTTGTGCTGTGTACACAGGAGGGACCACGGCGCGCCACACTCCGGACGTCCTTCTTTCTCACTTAGCAGCATAGCAGGGCCCGTTCCTTCTCAGCACAGACGAGGCTTCCATCCCCGGCTAGCTAGTCAGGAGTTGCCTGAGTAATTCCACTGTGTGGCCATACCACGGGCGAGCCAGGCTTCCGTCGATGGGGATTTCATTTATTTACCTTGCCTGTCTGTTTGGGAGGTCGTGGTTGCGGTGGCAGGGCACGTGCCCTTTCCTCTGTTCCCCACAGCGTGTGGAGCGGTGAGGAGGCAACAGGCAGTGCCGAGCGCGTGACCAGACTGGACCCCACAGCTGCCTTTTCTTCTGCAGGGACAGTAGGAGGATCGGGTCTTGCCTGCACACCCCTGAGCCAGGGGCCATGAAGGCGTGAGATCAGAGGCTGTTCATTTGCCAGGGCGGCTGCTGCCAGGGTCAGCCCAGAAACAAAGCTGGGTCTGGGAAGGGCCCTCAGCACCGGATGGGGGCGGGTGCTGTCGAACTGGTTGCCTCCTCAGTGGGGTCGGCTGTCGCCACCACCAGCCACATGGAGGTTGGAGCAGTGAATGACAGCAGGGGACAAGCAGCTCATGCGGGCCATTGTGCAAGTTCCCTGTCTCTGGGGGAAACGGGGCACTGCCAGGGCTGCCCATCCCCCTCCAGCCCTCTCAGCCCTGGACCCACAGATCCATCCTACCCTGTGTGCAGGGGATGCTTCCAGTGGACTATTTAAAATTTTTTTACCAGGGGATGTGTCCACTCACCAGAGAGAGACAGAGCGAGAGCAGTGAGAGAGCGCCTCCCGTGGGGACGGTCATGCCACACACAGTTCCGTTTCCCCCAAGCCTCCCTCCTTTCAGATTTGGGCATGCATGCACACGCCAGCACCTGGCATTTCTCAAACTGCCGAGTCTGGGAACTCAAACCACACAGTCAGCCATGTGGGGTCCCATCACCTTACCCACCATGCCACAGCCTGGCCCACGATCCATGTTTTAGAATAAGCAGGAGCAAGCAAAATCTGTCTAGAAAGTTCTGGAATCAGACGTAGGTGTCCTTGAAGGGACCCCAGCCCCAGTCAGAAAGGGGAGCTGGTCAGAGGTTGCTGCTGACATCTGTTGAAAACTCACAGCCATTTCGCATTTGTGCCCCTGCTTGGGAGGTTAGCAGCCTGGTGCGCACCTTGCACACCGAGGTGAGCGTCTCCGCAGAATAAACTCCTAACAGTGCGAGCGCTGGGACCTCTCAGATCCGTGCTGATGAGCAGGGCCTGCGTTAGAGCAGGGGGATTGGAGGCCACGAGGGCAGCCCTGGCTATATAGACTTGGGAGGGTGTTCCGGAATCTTCCTTCAGGAGATCCTGCAGGCACCACTACCTGAGTCTCATGTTCAGTCGGTTCAGTTAGGGGGTCTGCCTCAGTGCCACTCAGAGAGGCTGGCTTTGAGCAGGCCACGGGCAGTGTGGGGCACGGAAGCATCCACTAAGGCTCTGCGTGTCCGCTTGTCCCACGTGAAATCAGTGTGTTCGAGCCGCACAAACACTTCGTAACATCTCAGGACCAGAGCCTGGGGCTAGATGGAGGCCAGGCATCCCAAGAGCAGCACTTTCAGATTTTACTAAATGTACGAGGCCCCAAGTGCAGTCTGCAGATCTGGGGCCCGGCTAAGGGTCTACATTATTTTTTTAAGACAGATTTTTGCTATAGGGTGCATGCGCTTGCTGGAGAGACAGAAAACAAGAAATCATCCCCCAGAGGGGGTGGCCATGTCACAATCCCTTCTCTTCCATTCTCCTTCTGGGATCTTGGGCACGCACGTACATGTACCTAGCATGAGTTTCAGGTTACTAGGTCCAGGTCTTGAACCATTATGCCATCTGCTGGTCCTGAGGGTCTGCATTTCTAAGCAGCTCACAGAGGATGCCTTTGCCGCCGCCACCGCTAATCAGGG